CCTCCCCTCCCTCCTCCCCTCCCCTCCCCTCCCTCCCTCCCTCCCCTCCCCTCCCTCCCCTCCTTCCCCTCCCTCCCCTCCCCCCTCCCCTCCCTCCCCCCTCCCCCCTCCCTCCCCTCCCTCCCCTCCCTCCTCCCCTCCCTCCCTCTCCCCTCCCTCCTCTTCCACTCTGTCTCTCTATTTCTCTCTCTCCTCCTCTTTCCCCGCCTCCCTCGCTCACAGCTTCCCAGAAGGCTCCGAGCTCGTACAGCACGGTTCCAAGGGCAAACAGAGCATGAGGATCAGAGCTCTTCCTAACGATGGGGAGGGCATTAGACAGGGCGACTTTCAGGTCCTCATCCAGCACTCCGGTCGGGGCTCGCTTCCTCCTCGCCTCAGCATCTTGGATCAGCTTCCTGAGCGCCGTCGTCACCTTCTCGTCCGTCGCGTCCTCAGCCGGCAGGTCAAAGAGGCCGCTGTCAAGCTTCTTCACCGCCGCCTCCCTCTCTTTCGCCTCCAGCTGAAGCTTAGCTGCCGCGATGTTGTTCTTTGCATCCGCATAGTTGTCGTCAATGCTGAACGCAGCTTCGTAGTGCGCCAGGGCCTCTTCTACCCTGCCCATCTTGGAGAGCAGGACGCCGATGTTGTTGTAGGTGATGGCGTATGAGGGCAGCAGCTCGATCGCGCCGTTGTACGCCTCGAACGCCTCCTCCAGCCGATTCATCCGCGACAGCGTCAACCCGATCTGGTGGTAGGCGGAGGCGAGCTGGGGTAGAGCTTCTGGACCTGCTTGTAGCCATCTAGAGCCTGCTGCAGGCCTCCTGCCAGCAGAACACGTTGGCCACTGTGTAGATCGTCTCAGCGTCCATCACAAGCAGCGCCACCGACATGGCGCTGTCCAGTAGGCCTCGAGCTCCGACCTCGTCCCTGACCTCACCCTGAAGAAGCTGGTGTGCTTCCTCCATGAGCCAGTAGGCGATCTCTTTCTGGTTCTGAGGGACCTTCTTGGCGCTCTCGAGGATGACCCGCATGGCTCTGCGGTGGTTGTACTTCTTGTGCAGCTGAATCCCTTCCCTGATATCTGCATCCCACTCGTCCAACGCCAAGCAGGAGCAGCTCAAGGAGAGGAGGAGAAGAGCTTGCAGAGCTTGTTTGACAACACGCATGGCAACGGAGCAGAGGAGGAACGAGAGCTCCCACAAGGAACTATCACAACTGGTTCTCCCCCCTCATAGCTGACCCGGTAAGGTCAGGCTGTAGAGCGAGGCGACAATCCGTTCTGCTGCTCAGTTCAGCCTCTCCTTCCTGAGAACATCCGACCTGACTCTCTGACAACTCAACCTCTCCCCCATGATTCCCCTCCCATGAATGACGAAAGTCGCAGACCTCGATCAGGCTTCGTTCCTGTAGCTGCTTTGAAACATCAGTACACTCAAATGCACTTGCACCATGCTAGTCAGACTACAGCACAGAGGCAGTTCGTTTATCGATTCTACTCCATTGTGATTTCATCCCTTTCTTCCTACTCAACTTCTCACCATCACACTAGTTTCCTCATCTCCTCCAACAGGTTGTTGCTATTCTACCCTCCTTGCTACATCTCCCCTCACCAGCATTAATGTGCAATTTTATCCCATCCAAATCTATCCAATCCAATCCAATCCAATCCAATCCAATCCAATCCAATCCAATCCAATCCAATCCAATCCAATCCAATCCAGTGATGTCCTGTGCTATCGCATCCTGTCAAGCCTCTTCCTATCCTATCAAATCCTCCACCTCTTCGGTGAATGTTTCCCCTATGATTGCCTTCATTGCAGTCAATGTCACGAGAAGATTCTCATTCTTCTCCACCGCATGCGTGTCTCCTCCCTCCTCTCCTCCTTCTCCTCCTCCTCCTGCCTCCTGCTACATGGTGCTCGCTTGCATTCTGTTAGTAAAACAGATAATTTTTTAATTTTAATAGATCATGACCCCACCCTTTCCCTCACCTGTACTACCCACCCTGAATCACCAATGAACCCCCTTGTAAATACCCTCTACCCTTCAAACTCCAGACAAGTACCCCTATTTTTACCCTGTTGAAAATCTAAGGAAAACAACACCCTGTACCCCCTCAATTCTGTTCTCGTACCCCCTCAATCATCTGCTGATGCCATCCTGAGTACCCCTAACACTCTATGCACTAGTACCCACCCTATGAGACGTCATAAAATGTACCCCCTCCCTGTTAATTTCGACGGCGACCCCTCCACCCCCCTTTTTCAGCCTTTTGATGTACCTCGTCAAAATTTCTTCGTAGAACAAGAACGAGATGGTGGCTACTCTGCAAGTACCTCATCGTCCATATCGCTTAGAGCCCCTTCCTCCTACCCAGCTCTCCCTCACTCTCCCTCCTACCCTGCTCTCCCTCCCTCACTCACTCACTCACTCACTCACTCCTCTCCCTCACTCTTCCTCCTACCCTGCTCTCCCTCCTTGTTCTTCACGCGGATCCTCTTCTCACGCTTCCCGCGTCACTGAGTCACGCCGCTGCTCCTGTGCCGACGGTCTTTCACGCACCTCGTCCACACGTTCTTCACGTTCAAATTTCTAGCTAGTTCACATCTTCACAACTTCTAGATTACAGGATGGAGCATGCTGGCGTGCGGTTGCCAGGGCTGATCCGAACTCTTGGATCCTGAATGGATGCCAGGGCGGACGGGCGCACTTGCTCTCTGACTTTCTATCTCATCCCTGAAGACGTTGATCAGAAGACCGATAACTTTGGAGCACAAGAAAGGTGACCTGTTCTTCGACAAGCGAATATGATTGCAGAGACCGGCTGTGCCTCCTTGTTCGTTGTCGCATGTCATCAGGTTCTTCAAGAAAGCGTCGGGTTCCACACAATTCGGGATTCCTCGGTCACGAACAGCAAGACATGTGGAGCTGGGTCCCTGAACCAGCAGGTATGTACCATCCTTGTCCTCGCAGAGAAACGAAGCTTGCTCCACGAGATTGATGGAGTTTTTGGGCATCACAAAGGCGTTTGAGGATTCATGGATACTGTCAGGGAGGACGTTGTTGCACTTTCCAACCTGAAATATGTTGCCCACAACTCGCCCATGGGAGAGGTCCGAGATCGTAATAGCACATGATCCAGGGGCACTCAAAGTCTCCACCACGTTTGACAAGATGTCCACATGACACTTCCTCTTCACCAGGAGTCCAGCTTCGAGGTTCCCATGGATCAGGTTGCTCTCGATCAGCACCCTGACTTTCTCGCAAAGAAGGATTCCACTCCCTCTGCTGAGACAGATTCTGTTGTGCAGGATGTACGCTTCGCTCTTGCCCGAGCAGTGCACGCCTCCCTTCTTGTTGCCTGATATCATGTTGTATCGCATCAACGCTTTGGAGTGCCCCAGCACAAGGATCCCAAAGTCTTGCGAATCTTGCATGACATTCTTCTCACAGAAGATGGACGCATGCTCCATAATCCCAAGGTTGCACAGTCCGTTGTCTCTTACAAGGTTACCCGTCATTCTTACCTGTGCCTGACTTTGGATCATCACGCCTCCTGATGCACAGCCCCAGATCTCATTTTTGTCAAGACTCCCGCAGCTATCATCTCTGAACACCACGTTGCACGACACGTTCTCGTGGATCTTGTTGTCGTGCAAGGCTGCAATGGCGCGGTCCCGCACCAACACTCCCAGCGGTTGCTTCATCTGCGTGCTGCCAATGTTCACAGTATTGTGAGACAAGGAGGAGGACGAACTTCCAGCCAAGCAGACTCCTCCCTTCAAGTTTCCTGCAACAGTGTTGAGCTGCAAACAAGGTCTTGCCGCTCCCTCCGCCTGACAACCGAAGAGCTGATTCTCAAGGATGAAATTTTCCTGCAGCAAAGGAGCACTATGACCACTGATAAAAACTCCGTGATGACCGTTGTTGCGTACGCTGTTGGAGTCTAGTGTTGGTTGGCTTGCATCGCCGATAAAAACTCCACCAAGGCGGTTATTCAATACTTTGTTGTTTAGATAGATTGACTGTGACTTTCCCATTACAAAAATTCCGTAGGCTTGATTTCCTTGGATCGTGTTGCTCACAAAAGAGCCAGACGCGTTGTCCTGAACAAAAATTCCACCTGCTTCGCCTCCGATGATCATGTTAGAGAGCACTTTCGGGTTTGAATGCTGGATAACTTGGATTTGATGTTGCTGACTTCCCACTATTGAGTTTTGTTGGATGACACAAGTGCTGTTCCCCTGAATGAGAAATGCGCTGTGAAAACTTGCGGCGAAATGGTTGTCCTTGAAAACAGTTGTGCTCTTGTCCATACCTTCAGCTTTGTTAGCATAGGAAGACTTGAAAATAAGATTACCGAGGATTGAGTTCCGATTGCAATTCAAAAATCTGTTGGACTCAAAACATCCTCGTACCTCGTTTTTGCAAACAACGTCGTAGCTTTGGTTGTTTTGAAACAAGCATTTCACAACAGTTGGATTCACTTGACCAATGAGAACCAATGCTGGAGCAACACAACCCTAACATTCCAATCAGGTCAACGCCAACTCAATTCTTTTCTTACATGAAATGTACAATTTGAGATGTGCGGACAACTCGATCCTGTCAAGAGCATGCCTGCCCCATTCCAATCCGACACGCTACATGACTCAAAGTGCGCGTCTCCTTCATAGACAGCAACGCAGACATTCAACTCTCCTTGAGGATCTTTCTTTCTCTTTCTGTCTGACCCAAAGAAATGGAGCCCAACAATCTTCACCCCACTAGCCTCGACTGTGAGGATGGGCCTTGGGTGATCTGCAGAGGCAGCAGGAGGATATACATTGGCCTCGGAGGCTTCAATAGAGAGATTCTTTTGTGTTATGGCAAGAGGTCCATCCAACACGTACTTGCCGGGCTGAATCTTGACGGTATCGCCCGAACCAGCGCAATGCAGAGCATCTGTTAGTCGCGAGAAGACTCTGACATCCCCTTGCACCGGAACAAGCTGAATGCTTCCGTGCGTTTGCATCTGCGTCTGAGATTGGTTTCTGAGCGTGCTTCGAGCTGACTTCAGGTGAAACTGAGCTTATGTCGGACGTTGGGGGTGAATTATCTTGACTCCGTATCCCCGATCGAGGTCTGTCTTGGTATTCGCATCAAACGAAATCTGCGTGATGAATCAACCAAGAATCGCATCCCATATCATCTCAGAACATGTTGAGGTGTTTGTGTCATCGTTGCAATCAATCGCATTATGATAAATGCACGGTGTGCTGATGAATAATCTCGCTGCCCCCTTCATCCACATCCACTCGCCATCCAAGTCATTTCAAATTCAAACAACCACTTCTTTCCTCTCTTCCCTTCAGTTGTACACATTTGATCAGAACCTTCTATCTCTTGCACCTGTTTTAACTCAATCTGTTCGCTCAATCTCTCTAGAACTTCAAACGATCTCGTCATTTCATTTCCCTTCTTTCAAGCTCGTTCCACATTCCTCAAAAAATGACAAAAGTGTCACTGCAACAACCCAGAACCAACTCCTCAACCCTTCAACTAGCTGAGGTCACTTGTGTCTTGTGTGTTAGGTATGATTACTACCTCCTCTCGTCTCCAGTACCTGCTCTCTCTCCCTCCCATCCCACCCTGCCTTCCCTCTCCTGCCCCCGACCCTCAATGCATTTTCCTCACCTGGTCGCAAAAGTGCTTTTAAAACAATTTAAAAATGCGACTTCTCACACCCTACCCCCATATCATGAGCTCTTGTTGAGGGGAGAGGAGGGGTACATGGGGTACAAGTGAGGTCAGCGAGAGAGGGCGGATAACGAGATTTCAACCGAATTCAATCGAATGCGTCTCGTCCCCCAGGCCGGCCCGGCCGCTGAGTCGGAGCGCCCGGCCGGTAGTATACTAGGGCCGGGCCTGAACGGGCCCGGCGGGGCCGCAGTGGCTGGCTCTGATTTTTACTGGCAGTGGGCCTTAACTTTGAGTAAAGATGGAGCCGGGCTGGCACATAATATCAGGACGCAGAGAACTTTTGACTAACAGAGGTGATAAGAGATTGGTACACTGCCGATGTTCAAGCTTGTTTACACGGGACTCACTGCTGAGGCTCCGCGCGGCGGCCGGACTTGTACGGCCCAGCTTTCAAGTTATATTGATCGGACCGAGTCCGACACTGGGCCGCTGTCAAGGGGCGGCCCGCGGCCCGGCCAGCGGTGCCGGGGGCCGCCCGGCCTGTGGCACAGCGGCGGCCTGTCCCTCCCGGAGTCACAGTGAGAGAGTCCGGGAGTGTGCCGGCGGCGACGGCACTGAGTGCCCGGCCGGGCCAGCCGGCCACCGGCCGCGGGCCAGCCGGCCACCGGCGGGGCCCGCCGGGCCGGCGCGCGGCGTCCGCCGTACGGTCCGGGCCGGCGGCCGGCCGGCGACTAGGCTGTGTCCTGTAACTGTTCATAACTGAAACACCCGGATATAGGAGCATCGACAATGCCAGGGACGGAGGTCTGAGAGAGGGGAGGAGGCTGAGGGAGAGAGAGGCCGGCGAGGAGAGGAGGACGACATCTATCAAACTTGACCTTCCAAGTTGCTGCTGGGCTCATAGAGAGCACGTCAAACCAAGTCTTTGAAACTCCAAGATCGCTGGCTTTGCACTCCTCGTTGAGCTCTACTACAGTTAACCTTGACGAGAAGGCAGAATGGTCCGTTTGAAGGGCCAGGGTGAATCTTCGGCTTATGGATCAATGGACACACTTGCAGGGGTTTCAGCAGAAGAGAGACTCAAGCTGCTCGAGAGCCCAAAGCGACGGAGAACTGACGACGACGCGTTGACGTAATCCTCGTTGTTTTTTCTCTTCTGTACTACCTCTTGCTTGGACTCTTTTGAGCTCTTCTCCCTCTCCTCTCCCCTCTTCATGATAGCTTGAATGCCTTGTTTTTAACTCGTTTAGCTTGTTTTGAGCCTTCTCGGTTTCGTTATGCGGGTGATTCTTTTGCAGGGCTCTTCGCGAAACATTGTCGACGGCTATTCTTGCACCCAAGACACCAATCCCCATTGAGCCCGCGTCAGAGTTCAGCCAAACCATCATTCTCCTCGTTTCTTGTCTCTTAGCATTCGCAGCTGCAGCCACCGCGCTCTCCCTTGTCCCGCTCTTTCAATCTTTGAGGTCGTCCATAGGTTTTAGCTCCTTCCAGGTGCGGCGTAAGAGGGGCTCGTGAGGTCCTCACAGTTCCTGTAGGTTTGCTTCCTCAATGCCGCGCCCTTGCTGTTCTCCGCCGTCACAACTCTAGTCGTCAACAACTTCGTGCAGAGCAGCCCACTGTGGGACGTGCTGGCGTGGGCAAGTCTGTGCCTCGCTCTTGGGTGCTGGATTGCCTCGTGCTCGCATTACGGGTCTCCGCTGGAGTACCTTGCTCTCGGCCAGCTGTTTGTCGGCGTCACCATCGCCTTTCTTTCTGGCACACCAGCAAAGCTCTGCGCTTTCTGGATATCCGTCGACAAGCATGCCTGGACCCATACCCTTTGGGTGTGCAGCGTCCTGCTCGGGTCTTCGTTTGCCTTCCTCGCTGTTCCTCCCATGGTGGGAGGAGACGGTCAAGGCAAGCACTTGGGATCGTTCTTGCTGTGGCGAGCGATCTTGGCGACGGGGCTCTCGGCTGCGGTGATTGGGGTTCGAGCCGGCATGGTCCCGAGCAGCGGGCCCGAGAGAGATGAGAGTCTGCTGTATCGCTATCGCTCCTCTAGCGAGACGACCATGTCGTTTTCTGAGCTTGTGCAGAACAAGAAGCTCATGTATGTTGTGATTGCTCTTGGGCTGGCCATGGGCGGCATCTTCTCCTTCTTTATGCTCCTACCTTATCTGCTCAGCCTCCCTCCCCACAACTACACGCCTCTGCAAGCAGGACACGTCCTGTGTCTGCTAGGGCCCATGGGGATCGTCGGGCTTTTTGTGGTCAAGGGAAACGTTCTCGACCTACCCAACAGCGGGCGATACAAGCAGCCCATCCTAGTGGCCATCGGCGGGACCGCCTTCTTCATCTTCATCTTCGTCATGGTGCTGGGCAGGACTCACGAGCTCGGGCTGGCTTTGGTGGGAGGAGCTGTGTTCCTCTTTGCAGCGCCCCTCGTGTTTTTCACTCAGCAAGTCACCACTGACTTGTCGTATCCTCACGCCGAGCACGTTTCGTCAGTGGTGGTAACGGTGTGTGGGGTTCTGATCGAGGTGATGGAAGTGAAGGAGACACGCAGGCTATCATGGAGCTCATCGTTTCTCTCTGCCCGCTCATCTCTGTAGCCCTGACGCATCCTTTCGTGGCCGAGTACGACTCCGAAGACTCGAGGTACAGGATGATGGGTGGGATCGACGTCCTCACCTTGTCTCAGCCCTACGGGCTGGATCTTGTCCTACGGCTCTGCCTTCTGGATGCTTCTCTTTGGAGCCTCCTTCCTGGTGAGGGGCCTTGTCACTGTCCTGCTGCTGCTGCTGCTGAGTTATGATGATGAGTATGATCATGTTTATGACGATTATGATGGTGATGATGCTGGTAACGATGGCGACTATGATAACGATGACGGTTGCATGGTTTATCAGATGATAGTCACGTTGTACAAGGACGACGAGAGGAAAATTTTCATCGATTCTCACCCTCAAGTGATAGCAAGTCTGACGGAGAAAGTGGCGTCGGACTTGTCGCAAGCAAGAGCCTTCAGCGAGATGGTGAGGGTTGTTGTTGTGAGGTTGCAAGGAGTGAGCGGAGAGCAGGTGATCCCGATGCCGGAGAAGTTTGCAAGAGAGGAGGAAAGGATGTTCGAGCCCGAGCGACGGGACCCTCGTGACCTGCGATGGTCTCAACAAGGTGTATGAGAGTGCGATGGTTGTGTATGGCGTCTTCCTTTATTGTTTCTTGCTCAACGTAACGTCTCTTTACCCTCTCTGTTCCTCCCCTTTGAGCCTTTCATGCTCTTGGCACACGGGCGAGGACGCGCTCATCTTGCACCACTGGCTCATGATGGCATTGGGCTCGTTGCTCACTATCGCACTCGCGTTGCTCCGCAGGCATCTGCATGCCTCCTCCACCTCGTCCACTGTCCAGCTGACGATCATCTGTCCTGTCTTGCTCGCCTCCTCGGCCATCGCAGGGTTGAGAAGCGAAGACGCAGGCCCGACACCATCCCATGGGAAATCTTGTCGGATCGATGACGACGTGGGCGGGGAGGAGGAGTTGGGGGGTGACTGGTTCTTGAGGGAGTACAGAAACAGAACTCCCTTCAAACCTTTCTGCCGCAAATCGTCACTCGTCTCTTTGGCAAGCTTGCTGTCTTGCAACCAGATGCCGACAGAGCCAGGGGCAGGAGGGGGCGAGATCTCTGCGAGCACAGCCACCAGCTTGTGCAATGCGTCCTGGGTAACTGCGTTGCCCTTAGGCTCCAGCAAGAGGCGGAGAGGAAGCCTGATCATGTCCACTGAGGCAGGGCACGGGGAGCCGAGCACGAGCTTGACAGCCTCTGAGAGAGGAACAACGGACCCGTTGCTTGCTCGCTGAATCTGAGCCATAGTCAAGTCCTGCAGCTCGAGTTCAGAGACTGCAAGGATTTTCTTCATCTCTGTCGGGTGGCCTATGTAGAGCTCTCCCTCGCTAGCCCTGCTCACATCGAGGTCAAACCGACAGACGCCTTGCTGCTGCAGCGCTTCGATAGATTGCCTCGAGCTCGAAAACATGCCGCGCTTGTACCCTCGGTGCGATATGATGACAGGAGGTTCGAGGCCATGGCAGGGAGATGCGGGAGATTGAGACCAGAGGAGCAGCAAACAGACGTACGCTGCCAGCGCTGGAACGAGAACAGAAGCGAAGAGGAGTGCTGGTGACATCATCGTAGGCTGTTGCTGCAGGTCACGCAATGGCGACTATGCCATGCGAGGACCTGTTTTATAGCAAGAGGTCGTGCAGGAAGAGGCGAGTGGCCGAGCTGAATCACACGACCTGAGGACGTGTCGATGGAGAGGAGAAGCACGACGAGGAGAAATATGGGCAGAGCAGAGGCACAGAACAGAGTCAAACAAAGGACCGGAGGAAAAGTGGAGAAGCGAAGAAGCGAAGAAGTGAAAAAGAGAGGAAGACAGGAGAGGAGTTGAAGAGGAGAGAGGAAGAGAAGGGAAGAGGAGAGCAGAGGGATGGAGGAGAAGAGAGGAAGAGAAGGGAAGAGGAGAGCAGAGGGATGGAGGAGAAGAGAGGAAGAGAAGGGAAGAGGAGAAGAGAGGGATGGAGGAGAAGAGAGGAAGAGAAGGGAAGACAGAGGAGAACTACTGTGCTTGCTCTGCTCAACTGGCCTCCTGCCTTTCCTGCCCTGTAATCATCTTCAGTGTTTTTGCTTATTATTCCCATTTGACAAACCCGCCTCGGAGATCATCTTATGACAGAGGGGGGGCAGCAGCCTTTCTCTCTCACAGTTGACTTGGGCGAAGTTGACGCTTGAGAGTCGACGCGCCTCCGACGAGAGGCTCCGAGCGTCCCATGATGCTACCGCTAGCGGCCCTGCGCGAGGAGGCTGCCGACGCAGCATGCGAGCTGCGCTGCATGAGCATGACATGCGGACTCAGCCGCCGACCATGTCGCTTCCTCTCTCTCCCCTCCGATGATCAGTGTATCTGGAGTGTTGTCTACACTCATTACTACTAGTAATACCAGAGGAAGGCTGAGAATCGTTAGCAGGTTTCCGCAAGTTTTAGGGATTTCACAGTGAGGGAAGAGAGAGTAAGAAACCGGGATCACGCTACGCTACTGTGATTCAACAACAATTATCATTTCTTGTGCAAAATTGATGCTCCGTATACCAGTACGAATCCTGAAGGATCTGACCGTGCTCGTTAGCAGGTATCGGATCAAGAAACAACTCTGATGAATTTGAAGTCGCAAATGCTGGATGCTGATCACTACTCATCCAACCTTGGAGGCAGCTTCGAAGGAAGGATCTACCGAAGTTACGATCGTCACATAGAGCGGTTCGGATCTTACGGGTATTATGAGACCGCAAGCAATCACGCAGTGAGTCTCTCTGAGGGAGGCATAGCCACAAGACCCTCTGTCTAAGAACCTTCCGCAGGATGCAGCATACTCCACCTCACAGACCTCCTACACGACCAACCAAGGATTCTACTCAACCGTCAGCGCTCATCTCACTTCATCTGACCCGAATCAAAGGACATTTCAGTCCACCATGTCGTCGCAACCCAACCATCACAACATCTTCTCCTCACAGAACGCAAACCTGATGAGCTCGCAACGGCTGTCACCCGTGCAGCTCAGCGGGCCATCTCTAACGTCTGCTGCAAGTTATAGCAGGCCCGTGCGGGTGGTGCATCAGCACGCGATACCTGTGCTGAGTCAGCGAGTGAGCCATGCTCCGAGCATACAACTCCTCGAGCGACGAAGCGTGTTAGGCGTGCAGGAAGTTCCAAGGATCTCGGTCATGAGCCCTCCTGCAGAGATCCGAGGGGTGCGGCGATGGCTTGACCTGAAGGTGCGGTCTGATGTGTTGTCAGGTGGGCATCAAGTTCGGTGAGCGGGTAGACTTTGGCACGGGAAAGATGTTTGTGTTTGTCAAGAGACTGGTGGCTGGAGGACCAGCTCACCTGTCAGGCCAGATCCAGCTGGTCAGGTGCTGGAGACGCAGCAAGCTGACTCGCTGACCTCAAGCTGCAGGGCGACGTACTCGTTCAGATTGACGGACAAGACGTCCAGGGCCTCGGCCTTGCGCACATCAAGCACAAGATACCAGGACCGAGGAATTCATGGGTGACTCTTGGGTTTCAGGGGCAGAACGGAAAACTGAGAGAAGTGACTCTGCCTCGCACGGCTTACGGGAACGATAGCCAACAACAGATGCCACCAGCAGCGCCTGCCCCTTCTCAGCCCTACCAACATCAGCCAAGCAGCAACCTGAGGCCTCAGAACTTCCAGCCGATGCCCGGCCATGGCTACCTCGGCAACGAGCCACAACAGGCTCCCCAGCGAAATCTGGTCTACATGACGCAGCCTCAAGCAGTTGACGGCACCACTGCGCATCTGCCTGGGGCGATGCAGCTCAGACCTCTTGGGTCTGTGCCGGGAGCGTCTAGTCCGTCAGTGGAGTCGCCGCCTTGGATCTACGAGTCCGAGCCTGTCATGATGCACCCCACCATCACCGCCGGACAGATGGGGTCAAACCATCCTCGGCACGAATGGAAGTACGCACAAGACAACTATCCAGTGGTTATCGAGAAGGTCTGCTCAAATCTCATGTTGCTGGCATATACATGATGACTTTTACCTTCAGGACTCTGATGACATCTATAGCGTTCAAGTCTGATATTTGTGTTGAAAGAGTCGGTTCTATCAACCTTTCAATGTTACAGTGCTTCGCTGTAGAGTCTCAAGAATATGATTATGAGTGGAGGACAAGCATGAAAACTTTGACAAATAGGATTTATTTCACCAGGAAGATACAATGCTTCTAGTCTTTGTAAACCCGATTCATGATTTGGTTGAGGAAAGCTTCATCATCGTTCGTGTCAGGACTTTGCAACTCAGTAGCCAAGCCCTCCGCAGCCTTTGAAAGCCGAGAGAGTTCAACAGCGCCGAGACTAACAACACTGGTGTTCATTTCTTTCATCAACATCCACCGAAGAAGCCTTTCATCCATCTTCATCGCATACTGCAAGTCATGCAATGCTGCAGGAGAAAGGACAAATTTCATTTGAAAAATACGACCCTGCGTATGGAAATCTTGTCTCGACTTCATTCTATAAGCAAGATTCTGAAGTCCCCAGTTATGAATATTTGCAACAACCCCATTCTTGCCAACAATCACACCAGTAAGGTTCCGGAGCACTGAGTGGACATCATTCGTTGACAATTGTGCACGAGCAATTGCAGTCAAGTTGTAGAGCGGCATTTCTATAGAGATGTAGAGGCAGAGAAGAGAAAAACAAGAGGTACAGGTGAGTCAAACACCTACTGAGCGCTCAACAACCGCAAGCACTTAGATCGGGAGGAAGAGCTGCAGCACTCCAGGCTTGGTCTCACTCTGAAATCCGAGGTAGAGAACGAAGGGGACGAATCCGTAATGAACGACAGTGCGTGTGACCTTGACAGCAGAGGAGAAGCTCTTGTTGAGGAGATGGGGGAAGGAGGAAGAGCCGGGGGGTGCGGGCAGGGCTGGAGCCATGCACGCGCAGAGGAGAGGAGAACGTGGTGTCGATGTGGTATTTAATTAATACGCAGGGGTGGAGGGCAATTGAAAATGATGGGTAGGGGTTATCAGACTACCGGTACTATTAGACTCTGATCATTCAGGAATGACGGTGGTCTTTCAATAATGGGGGGTACCGGATTCGGATTAGAAGAGATTGGGGTAGGAGGGAGGGGGTAGCCGGATGGGTAGTTGCAATATTTAAAACCTTTTTGTACCGAAATGATCTTTAAATATAAATTTGGTTCAAAGTAGCTTATTCAATTTCTTATATGTTTTTAGTTGTGTACCACATTTCGTAGCCTCCTACTGTTTTGTTTCATAGTTGGAAGAATCTAGTTTTAGTTTACTCAAAGTTATGTACCAAAGTTTGTACTGTACAAACTTGAAAAGAGCTAGAAGTTGCGGGGTCACTGTCGGGCCTGGCAGGCCCGGGCCCTGCCATCAAGTTCCGACTCCGCCACTGAGCGGCGGGCCCGCGGCCGCCGCCAACACTGATGGACCCGCCGGCCCAGTGCGTCCGGCGCGGCCCGGCCGGTCCTGAAACTACTAGTCTCAGTGCAGCGAGTTTAGAAAGGCAAACGGTGGGAAGGGCTGTAGGGTGACGCCCTGTCCGTCAGCAGTACTACGCCGCCGTACGGTAAACTTCGGCGGCCGGGCCCGGGCCGGATCGGACCGGGGCCCCGGCGGACTCGGGAGTACGGAGCCTGGTCCTTGACTTGAATCGGACTCCGAAACGGTCAATCCTCCGACCGAGCGCCGGGCTCCTCGACTCTCGGGGCCGGGGCTGTTGACCGTCGACTCAGCAGGCAACCGTCGAAGACGGCGGCGGCGCCGCAGACTCGGTACGGTAGTGCCGGGCCCGGAACTTCGGAAGCGGCCCCGCCGGGCGGCTGAGCCTCCGATTCACGGTCACGGGCTCACTGAGACACTCCCGCCGGCGGCGGCCCCCCGGCCGGGCGGCCGGCCGCGGCTGCCACGGTTCCGAGTTCCGCCACGGCCCGCCCGGTTCCGAAGTTCGGGCCCGGCGGCCCGGGCTAGGGACCGTACCCCCCCGGGGCCCCGGTAGTTTTATCTGTCCCATGGGCTCGTACTGACTTTACTCAAAGTTAAGTTAAAAATCAGTACGAGACAATCAGGAAGTGCTGATTTCAAGCTATCCCATGATGGCATTGAGGGCGCATTACCCGGGAAAAGAGGGGGTGGGGGTCCGTCAGCGATGCCGGGAGGCGCCGGGAGATTTACGGGAGATTTACGGGGAGATACCGATGCATGAAGGACCTCCGGAGAGGGGGGTGGGGGGGGGAGGGGTACCAACTGGACAACCTCGCACGGTCTCAATGATCCATTAATGGATTCGGGTCAATTGGGTGGGTGGTAAATCCATTCCCTACCACCGGTACTGTCCTGAACCCCCTTCGTTCCACTACCGTCGACCTGCCATCCCCTCCCTCCTTGTGACCTGCGCCTCCTCCGCTCACTGCGATATCGTCGCCCTTGCTGTACATCTCCCTGCCACGCTCTCACGCTCCCCAGTGTGCTTACACGATGGAGCATTCCGTCAGCCTTATGTCTCCTAGCTCCATGCCCCTGCTACTTCAGCGGCCCAAATCTAACATCGTTGCCTATCCTCTCTACCTTCCTCCTGCTGCCCTCGCCTGGGCCCCCGCCTCCCTCAACCCTACAACTTCCCTTCCTTGCATGGGCAAGGTGCGCCAGCGCAAGCTCAGCGTCGACGTGGCGCGTAAGATCTTCAAAGACAGGGTGTCGGATGCAAGCAGCAAGTTCGCGGAGAGCCAGGTCGTAGGCAAGTGCTACGGCGTGAGCTCCAAGACCGTCCGGGACATATGGGACAGGAGGTCGTGGGCCAAGCATACCAGGGACATGGCGGGGAGTCACGAGACGCAGCCCGAGGACCAGGCGCAGGCGTCGACTGTCAGCAGAAAGGACGACAACGGAGAGGCCGCACAGCAGACGCTGGCAGGCGGGAGACTGGCCGAGGTCTCGGAGACAGGAGAGAACGAGCAGGCCCAGCGGCGCTGCGAGGCAGCGATGACTTTGTCTGAGTCGCCTCTCGGGACATCAGAGACGGGGAGCTGCCTGCTGGAGACGAGCAGGAAGAGAGCAGCATCGTTGAGCTGGGACGAAGATATCTGGAGCATGATGTCACCAGAGTGTGATGCTCAAGACTTGACGGAGGAGACCGAGATGCTTCCGGGACAGCCGGACAGGTTGTGCATGGCCGAAGTGTACATACCGGAGGATGTGAGCGAGTGGTGCGTGGAGCCGATGGCGAGATGAGGGTGAACTTGTGCGGGGACTGGGCAGCCTCAGTGAGAAGGGGCAAGGGAACAAGAAGCTGGAGTTGGTGTAAGGAACGATGTAAGTGCGGGAGGGTCCGAATGAGCTTTCTTGGTTGTCCTTGCCTCGTAGAGTTCGTAGAGGAACAGAGATGTAAGTAGTGAAGCAACATAGAGAGATTTCGACCATGCCACACAATTCCCTGCACTGCGATTCATCATCTTATCGCCAACCGCTCATGGTCCTCATCCTGCTTTATCTCTCAATCATCAAGGGAGTCTCGGACACTTTTAAACCATCCTGAAACAATGACCCCGACTCCCCTCCTACATCCACCATCATCTCTACCTCCTCCTCTCTCCCTCATCCTCTCTCCCTCCTCTCTCCCTCCTCCTCTCTACCTCCTCCTCTCTACCTCCTCCTCTCTCCCTCCTCCTCTCTACCTCCTCCTCTCTACCTCCTCCTCTCTACCTCCTCCTCTCTACCTCCTCCTCTCTACCTCCTCCTCTCTCGCTCTTTATCCCTTCAACATGATTCGTCCGTCGTTTCCCCAGAGCAGTCGAATGTGAGCGCCTGACTACCCCACCCCCTCTTTTCCTCTCGATTTGACATAAATGTACCCGTAAACCAAACAATATCCTAACTGTCACGGGGGGTACCCGGATCCTCTACAGGGTGGGTACTTTTGCCTTGAATGGAGTAGGTAGGGGATGGTCAAGCAAGGTGTTCAGGGTGGGGGTGGGGGTGGGGGCCGGTTTGGAGCATGCACGCGATGGCTGAGAAGGGGAGGTAGGAGGAGGAGGAGGAGGAGGAGGAGGAGGAGAGAAGCAGAGCGAAGAAAGAGAGCAGAGCAGAGTACAGCACACAGCACATCTACCATGCGAGCAGGGGAGCTCTGCTTCCATCATGCGCTCTGAGCTTCAAAGTTTGTCTTCCTCCCCCAACCCGCCCGGCTGCTCATCCACAAGGGCTCGTAACAGACGAGGTCATCGGAGCACAAGTCTCCAGCAGGAAGCGACAGACCTTGACAGGAGCCTTTGTCGCACTCAAGAGGCTGCTGGTCACTTGCCCCGACCTCGCTCTTGCCCCCAAACCTGAACTTGGTCAAATCAGTAGCCCAGTATCTTCGGCACAGGTGATCAAGTTCAGCGTTCAACAGCAGGGAGTTTTTCTTTTCTTCAACGTTTCTGAGCAGACAAGACGCTGAGAGTCTCTGCACTTGCGTGTTTGAAGGAGGTCGCGACATCATCTTACGCTTGTTGATGCGGACAAACGGGTGTAGCGGGATGTCACATTGCATCGCGCCGCTAGTGTGGGTCTTTCTCGTCCTGCATTTCGCGTCAGCAGGATACGAGTCGGAGCCCTACGAGCTCCCCAGGAAGGCCTTGCGGGACTTGAAGAGCAGCGAGCTCGTCGACGAGCTGGTGTCGTACGTTGTGCTGGTGGACGCGGGGAGCAGCGGGTCCCGTGTGCATGTCTTCAAGCTATTGTGGAGTGTTCCTCTCAAGTTCCACCAGGAGTCGCTGGCAGCAAGCAGCAACCTCATCCCCAACATCACTCTTCCCTGCAAGAAGCTCAAGACCGAGCCTGGACTGTCTTCCTTCGCCGGCAACCCGTCAGCTGCAGGCTCGTCGTTGGATGCCCTGATAGCGTTTGCCAAGGAGAATGTACCTCAGTCCAAGTGGAAAGACACTCCTTTCATCCTCGCAGGAACAGCCGGCCTTCGCCTCCTGCCCCGCAGTGTCGCTCGTCAGATCCTGACCAGCTGCGAGGCTCATCTGCGAAGGAACTCCCCGTTCCTGATCGAATCCAGCAATGTCGAGGAGATCTCGGGGGTGGAGGAGGGCGTGTACGGCTGGCTGTCCGTCAACTTCCTTGCTGGAAGACTGCAGGGGATGCGCAATGCTCAGCAGGGAACTGTCGGGGCGCTGGAGGTGGGAGGAGCGTCGATGCAGGTGACGTTCGAGTTCAGCCCTGGGTCGCCGGATCGTGACCGGGCCGACCTCTCGTTCCACACGGTGACGGTAGGAGGCAACACGTACTCGCTGTACACGCACAGCTACCTCGGGCTGGGACAGGACGAGGCGAGACGAGTGTACAACTCCTTGTCGCCTCCCGCGGAGGAGGAGGAGCCCTGCTTTCTCAAGGGGTACGCGCACGAGGGGTTCGAGGACGAGGAGCGGATGGCGTACATGGATCACTACCGAGGGCGGCTGAAGTCAAGCGTGAGGGGGTCGGGCGACTACGAGGGATGTCGGAGGAGGATGCAGGACTTCCTGTCGCACTTCCGTGACAAGATGCAGTCGGAGGCAGGAGGAGGAGGAGACGGATGCCAGCGGGAGCCTTGCGCGATCTCGGGGATACATCAGCCTCCTTTCTGGACGAGAAATCACTCCAAGGTCGTGGTGGCCTTCGAGCATTTCCGTCACACTGCTGCCGCGCTCAACCTGGTGCCCGGCGGGAGGAGGAGGGAAAGCGGAGGGGAGGGAGACCCACACGCAGGGCTAGGGGAGGGAAGGCATGACGGTGTGACCATCCGAGCTCTGAGGGAGGCAGCGAGGACTTTCTGCAGCCTGTCATGGGAGGAAGTGACGGAGAAGGGGCTGTACCCGCAGATGCGGAAGGGAAGTGAGCACAAGTACTGCTACAGCGCCGTCTACCTCGAAGTGCTCCTGCGGGACGGGCTGCACGTGCCGGAGGACTACGACATTCTCATGCTCGGGCAGATCGGAGGCGTCGAGATCGACTGGGCGCCGGGGATGATCCTAGCCAAGGCCTCGCATCCTCTGCGCCATCGGCTGACGGGCCAGCGGACGGGGGAGGGAGCGGCAGGAGGGAGCGGCAGCATGTGGGGAGTGCTGGGGTGGATGGGAGTGTTCTTGGTGCTGTCGCTGCTCGTGATGGGAGTGTATCACATCCTTGCGAGCTTCCTCCCGCATCTTCTCCAACCCAACTCGTCCTCCTCCACCTGCTGCAGCCCCAAGGTACATCAGCCCCGTCCTCTGCCGATGACACTGACGAGCGGGCAGGTGACGATGAGCGGGTTGAAGAGAAGCAACTCGTTCACAGAAGAAGCTTTCAAGCTTGTAGGGTCGGTGAGACTCCGCCTCCTCCTCCCCTCCTCTTCTCCTCTCCTCGATCTTGTCGTCCTGGCTCATTTCTTTTCAGGCCGTGGACTCTTTCCGTTTCAGCGGCCCAGTCCTTCGAATGATCCGGGTAATGATGATCATATCCTCTTCCTCCTCTTCCTCCTCCTCCTCTCTCCTC